CCGGGTCGAGATGGCCTTCGCACGCGTCTCCGCCTTGATCCTGGCCGTCGCGCCTCCCGCTCCCGCCGCCGCCACCGACGCCGCGCACAAAGCCCCCCCACCCGGACTCTCGGGGCGCCGCCGCCGCCAAATCTTCAGCCGCTCACTGGCTGCCGGGCCGCGGCGCCTACCGGGAAATGCAGTCCCGGGTTCGGGGTGCGGGGGGCGAAAGGAGGAAGAGGCTCGTCCACGGGCGGGGAGGAGGGGCCAGAGCGAGAACCAGAACTGAGAGCCATCCGCGGGAGTCCGGACGAGAAGTGAGATCTCTGGCCCGCGGGGCAGACGGAGCGGAAGGAAAGGGGCGAAGGGGAGTCAGAACGAAACAAAACTGGAAGACGGGGAACACAGGTTAAAGGTTGGGTCTGTGTGTAACATGGTGCTCGTGCATGTTCCGTGTTAAATAAAAGCACGATTTTGAAACACCAGTGGCACTGCGAGACAGGCACTACATGTTAGACTTAACCGACTAACGGGCGCCCGGTTAGGACGCGCCGGAGAGAGCACAACATTTGTGGTGCCTCCTTGGCTGCCTTCAGCCCGACAGCTGTCAGAGAGGAGCTGCCTGTTCCGCACGGGTCTGCGTCTGGACACCACGGCAGCAATTTCAGACCCGATCCTCCGGGACGTCTCTCCTTCAGCCCTGCGCCTTTCAGCCGGATGCTGCGCCCCCCCTCACCCCTACCCTGCCCCGCGCTCCCCGCGGCAGGCAATAGAAAGCCTTGGCGGCGTCTGGAGCTCTGGGGGAGCGCCGACCTCCCCAGCAGGTACGCGGCCGCGCGCCTCCTTCCTGCTCGCGCTGCGGGCCCGGAGACTTGTGGGTAACGAGTTGCACAGAAGCGCCCAAACGCACCCTAGACGCTAGGGCCCAGAGGGCCCTGTGCCCGTCGCGTGCGTGGGCATTCTGCCGCTCGCTGCCAGACCCTCCTGCCCAAAGAGATGAGGGCATTTGTCCTAGACGAAGTTCATGCAAGAATGAGAGAAGGAAGAGGGAGTCCAAATTCTCTAACTCTCTAGCCCTCCCCATGGTAGCAAATTTACGTTAAACAATGGAAGGTCCTGTTGGGCGGGGGAAGGGGTGACACAACAAACTTATTGCAGGAGTGTGCAGATTTGGGGATATTTCCTGGGGACTGGTGGATAATGACTAGAACGTTGCAGCACAGAGAAGGTACAAAGAAAACAGGTAGCTATTAGATGAGGAAACCAAAACCCGTGCTCTGTTTTGAGAATAATAAAGCCGTATTACCACTAGATGTTATTACTCTCCATAGATGTTACAGTGCTGGATCTATTTAGTACCCTTACAAGAAATTCCTGGTATCTTTAAATGCTACTTAAATAAGAAATTAAAAGTTTCCTACAGATCAATTATTTTAATGATTACTAATTATGTATTAGCTTGTTTAAACATGGTTGTTTAAACCCTGTTAATAGTACCAAGGATGATATTCAGAATTATGTGTTCCCATTACTATCAAGCATTAAATATTTCTAAAACTACATTTGTGTAGTAGCTACATTTTGTGTATAACAACAAAAGTTGAAGGAATCAATAAAATCACATTTTTGTTTGTTTTAAATGCCTAAATGACTTTTTGGAACAAAGTTCTCCCGAGGGGACCACCTGAGCTTATTTTAGTTTGATTTTGTCTTCTGGAAAGTAAGGTTAAATTGGTCTTTTTTTCTGCCCTGACCAGTGCAGCTCAGTTGGTTGGGTGTTGACCTGCAAAATGAAAGGTCACAACCACCAGTCAGAACACAACAACCCTAGTCAGGGTGCATATATCGATAGTTCTGGCCCTCTTTCTCTCCCTCTCTAAAAATAAAAAAAAGTCTTAAAAAAATTGTTCTATTGCAGTTGTCCCAGTTGTACTGTTGCTCTCCTCTGCCCCGCCCACCATCCCACAAATAAATAAAATCTTTAAAAATTTGGATCTTTTTCCTTTTTTTTTTTTGGCTATGATCCTTTCCACTTCCACCTTTTTTTCCCACCTTCCCATCTTTACATTGTTTTGTTGATAAATTGTTGCCTTGACCGGACAACTGGATTTTTCCCTTGAGGAAAACCCGGTTGTCCCTAGGGATTTAATTTTGATTTTCTTCTAAAACTGTGTTGACGAGTTTAAAATTGAAGTTATGTTGTTGGCAGCAGTGAGAACAGCACCAGGTGTTAGACCAGTGAAGTCAGGCTGAACCTTGATTCTTGAGCTCTGGTTAAGAAAAAATTCATACCCAAGACTCAAAACTATAAGAAAAAGTTTATTCAGAAAGTCAGAGGTAGAAAAAGTGAGTGGTAGAAGAAATGGGGCCAGGAAGCAAGTTACAAAGGCAAAAAAAAAAAAAAAAAGAAAAAAGAAAAGGCCCTTGGAGCTTAGGAGAGAGAAGGATAAAGGAAACAACTCTGTGGTGGAAGGTGAAGGGGAGGGCAAGAGCTGGGTTTTTAAGGGAAGGGGATTTTTAGGGGTAGTTTCAGAAGAGGATATTAGTAGAACGTTCATCAGCTTTCCAGGTGTGTCCTTTCAGGGTTGTGGTCTCCACTGATTGGTCCTCACAGGGACAGGGGTCATTAGTCATTGCAGCTAGTCCTAAAGTCTGTCTTGGCCTTGCTTGTCTGGTTTTGCTGCTTTTCTGGACCTGGAGCTGAAACAGCTGAGCCCTAGTTGTATTTGATGCAGGTCAGAACCTCATTGTTCTGGGGGCTTAATGCTTTAGGCTATTATTCATTTTGTCTCTAAGGGGGCCTAATCTATATGACTTGTAAGAAGCCAGGGAAGAACAGGTCTGAGTTGGGTCTGAACCAAATGACCATTGATATGAAAGGCCAGGGGGTCTAAACCTGGCGAGTGAGCGATATGCTAGGGGAGGAAAGGTTACGCTGGGTGAGGTCCTTGTTTTCCCAGTATGACCCGTTTCTAGGCACCCTGGGCCTTCCACCCTGGTGACCTGTACCTGGCCCATCATCCTTGCTCGTCTCATGTCTGTCTATCACAATTTGAGGTGGATGCTTAATATTGCACAGTCTTTTTGCAGAACATTAGAAAACACATTGTTAATAATATTTGATCTGGAACTATAGTTAGGGAAATGGCCATTAAAAAGAATTACATTTTAGCATCTCACATCTGAGGTTCAGAAAATGGTCCCTCTTCTCCAAAGAAAATGAGCAAACAGGTCATTAAGACAGCAATCTAACAATCAGGGCCAGAGTAAGGGAGGAAAACATTTTTTGTTTCTTTTTTGAAGATCATCGCTAAAAACTCCTTACATTGTAAATCACTGATCCTGAAAGTCAAAAAGTTGTCAGTTTTAGTAACATAAGGCAACATTGCTTTGAACAAATAAATTTCAATGTGAAAGATTCTTAGCCCTTCCCTTTTCAGTATAGGGTTGCTAACATATGGCCGCAGTAGAGAAATACAGCTCATCTTTCAAATAGCGATCTTGGAATCATTCATCTGGTTTATGAATACTTAATAACATTCCCTGTGCCTGGTTGTACATGAATACAATGCATGAATAAGAATATTTCCCGGTATAATATGTCTCCCAGGGATATAAGAGGAATATTTTTGCATCCTTATGATCTTTTCCAGAAAAGTATGGGTACATGGTAGTGTTTAATTTATGAAATTAATGTGAAAATTATACCATACCTTTTTACAGCTCAAAATTTACCATCAAGAATTTTCCGGAAAAGGAAGAAAAGCTAAAAATACAAAGCTTTGTAGAATTTGTTGATTCTAGTAAACAGAATGTGAAGTGAAACCTTTATGTGGAAAGTTGGGCATCAGACATGCACAAAGGGCCCTCTACTGGTCAAATTGAAAAGTTTTTGCCTTATTTACATAGTTGATCCATTTAGTTACTAGCTGAAAAAATGCTTTGTGGATTTTTTTTAAAACCCAAAAACAAATGAAAAAAACCTCGAAATTTAATACCCGCCATCTTCATTCTTACAAATGTGCAGCCCCGATGAGTCAAGTGTGTGGTCAGCGAACATGTTAAGAGAAATGTTTTCCGTGAGAAAGCCCTTCCTTGCTGTCTGGTGTTAGTCAACGCGGAGCCACTAACATTTTATTTTTCCTTGTAGAGTCAGGTGAAATGGATAGGTAGAGAAAACTAGGGAGCAAAACATGTCCAGATCTTTCACTTTCCCAAGATGGCTCAGTTTGCCATCCTAGGAACTGAAGTGCCCCCCCCCCCAAACCTGCACAGCTACTGTAATATAGAGTTTAAATATTGAGATTTTTACACAAAGTACGGATCAGAAACAATACCTCTGTATTGTTTAAGAGATCATTTGTAAAACAAGTTCAGATCACACAGCATCACAATCTCGGGCCAGCAGAATGCTTTCCCTACCACTCCCTCTTTTCCCGGCCCTCCCCGCTTCAGTCGCGCAGTCCGAGGGGGTGGAGGAAGCAAGGAAATACATAAGTGATGTAATTCGTGACTCCAAGGTGGTTACCATGGCGACTATCAGGCAAATTGCGCCAACGGGAAGGTAAAAACCACCTTTAATCCAGCTTTCAATGAAGGGCTTTCAGGAAGGGATAGCCCACAACCCACAGTCCCTGCACAGGCCAGGAAACGTCCGTCTTCCCCTCCCCCCCGCCCGGGCTCCTCAGACCACCCCAGCCAGACAGCGAGTCCCGTTTGCTCGTGGGAACAGGACTCCTGCCTCCGGGGATGCTGCCGCGAAGGACGCGCCGGCGCCCCGGCACCGAGAGCCCATTGGCGGGCAGTGTCGTCACTCAGAGTGACGTCAGCGGCGGGGGAACGGGCGCAGCGGGGAAGTCGGCCTCGGGCCGTTCGCGCTCCCTGGCCGGGGACGAGGGGGAGCGGGAAGGGGCTAGAGGACCGCGGCGGCCGTTCCGGGAGGCGGCCCACGGAGGTAGAGGTGGGCGGGCCCAGCCCGCCGCGGCGACCTGCGGGTCCCGCCTGCCGGTTTCCCCGGAGAGCCGCTCCCGCGGCGCCCAGCTCCGCCCCGCCGGTTTCCCCGGCAGCCTCCGCGAGCCCGGCGCGCCGTCCTCGGCCCCGGACCTCCGCCTCCTGCCCGCCCCACAACTTCGGGGCTCCACTCAGCCTCCACTCCCCCTCTTTCGTGCTGCGCTGCCTTCAGTCTCTCCGCAGCCCGCGCCCGACTTGTCCTCCGCCTTCCGTAAACTCGGGTCTCCAGCGAGGCTCGTCCCCGCGCCCGCGCCGCTCCCGCGCCCGAGTGCAGAGACGCACCCCAGAGCCCGCCGCGGTGGACACGGTCCGCACCAGGCGCGCAAACGCAGCCCGCTGCGGAGAGCGAGGGCGCGCTTTGCCGCCAGCGGGTCAGCCGTGTGCGGGCGGCGGAGGCGTCTTAGGGCCTAGTCCCTGCGTGTGGGCCTGGGCGGGACTCGGCCCCGCCCCCGGAGTGCTCGCCAGCTGGCGGGGTGCCCCGGCCGCTGGGCGGACTCGCCTCCCGGTGGGCTCTGGGCACCCTCCAGCAGGGGAGCGCCTGTTCTTTAGTCTGGGCCGGATGCGAAAAGTATTATTTGAACTCTTTTTTAAAAATTTATTTTAATTGTTGTTTAAGTACAATTTTCTGTCTTTTACTCCCATCCCAGCCCCCCCCTCCCCCCAGTATTATTTGAACTCTTGGTCAGAATGTCAGCTCCGTGGTCGAGGTTTCTGTCTCGGAGAGACCCTGGTACTCTTTTCCCAGGTGCAGGGCAGCAGAGTTGACACTACGAGATGTTAAGGCTCCTTACCGCCCTTGGCAGAAAAGCGCCGCAGGATGGAAGGTTTCTGTAAAGCTTATCTAAAGGTATAAAGCTCTGTGGAGAATCACTAACACAGGAAACCGGTTTGCTTTCATGTGAACTGTTAGGTACCATGTATATCTTCACTGCTACTTGAATAAGTACTTTCAATTTTTTAAAGTTTGGGGCAGCTTGACCAAGTGTGGAAAACACTAATTTAAAACAAACCCAAGACATTTACTTTCTGCCCGTATTTTTAGGCTACCAGTAAGTGTGCCTTGCTCACCTTCTTGAATAGTTGGCAACCGTTTAAGTAGATTGTTAAGTGCTATTGACCAGAAATCAAAATGTCTTTGAAGACCATACCATCGTGAGCTGCGTTTCTGTTTGATGGGATCTCAAAGTGCCATTCTCAAATCCAGGGCTAAGAAAACAATGTTCATGTTGTTGGACATGAACGCAAAAGAGATTTTATATTTTGAATAGGATATGCAAATTCTTGGCTCCTAGGATCTTTATAATTGATGTGTTTTTCAAATACTAAATTGTTTATCTATTCCTTCTGCTTAGGTCCCTATGTTGACTAGTTGAGACAAATACGAATATGGCCTTCTACAGTTGTAACACGGTCCTAGCTATTGCCCGGACAAGGTAAGCCTTGTAATCTGCTGCCCTCAATATTTATATGAATTTTATTCTTCTAGATGGAAAAGATATATGTAAAAAGATTGGCTTAATAGACAAAGCTTTGTTGGTTTTAAGGAAGCTGACGTTTTAATGTATTTAAACTTACCCCAAATTTTGTATATGCTTTAGAACTCAGGCTGAGTAATGTTGTAGATGTGTAGTACAAGTAAGATACAAGATGTAGTGGTTTTAGAATGACACTTCTGTCATTGATGACTGCTACCTGAGGCCCTTAGGAAGAAAAAGGAGTAAACCTGCTGGCCAACAAGCCAGTCCCAGGGCCAGCATCTGCCCCACAAGGTCTGTTAACACTTGTTGATTACAAAGGCTGTTCACTGAGAACTTGCTATGTGCCAGATGCACTGTACGTCTTCCCTTTTAGCCATTCAAAAAGTGTTTTTTTATCTTGGCATGCTTCAAAACCAAAAAATGGAAAAAGCTATCTCTTTGCCAAAAGATGTCTCTCTGCCAGGAACTTTCTTTGCGTAGATAATCTTTTATATATTTTTAAAACAATCCGATGTGCTAGTTTAAGTGAAGATTGTGAGGTATTGCAAAAGTAGAATGTAGAAATTCGTGGCTGGGGTGCCCAATTCTAGTTCTTATTTCTAAGGGTTTTTTTTTTCCTTAAGGAATCTTAGGCGAAGGACATTTCACCCATAAATCCCTCTCACTGGAGGGGTTCCATGGGTACTGCATAGTCAAGGCTATCTTATGTGATTGATTAACCCCCAAAGGGACCTTGAAGTTCTTCATTCAAACAATATTATCAATAGAGTAGCTGAAGACAAAAGTCTTCTACCTGTTTTCTGGTAGTAGATTAGAGGCAGAACTTTCAAACGTAACCCCTGGTGGTAAAATATTTGCTCTTAGATTTTTAAATGAATAGTCTCTGAGTTTCTAACTTCTAGTATAGCGATTATTCTTAGGAATGACCTTATTGATATTTCTCATAGAGTATTTAATTCAATCATAAAGCTTACTATTCTTCAGCTGGGATAAGTTATATTTCATTTGCTAATGAACAGCATCTGCTATAAAATATAGGCTTTAAAACTATTGCTTCATTTTGACCAGATACAGCATCTATTTCTTTAACTTTTAAGTTTTTATATGTCGTGTCAACTCAGAGGATGTCGCTCTTTATTCCAGATTCCCTAGCCATTTTGTCCATCCTACCTGCTGTTCTCATTTCCCATCACTTGCATTTCTTCACTTGCCAGAGTCCCATTTAAATCAAACATGTATGAAGAACTATGGGAGCAAGACGTTCTCCTGTCTTAGTCAGCCAGGCAGTAAAGCACTGTCCTTACAAACTAGGACCACACAACAGCTTCACACGTCATCCTGCTGGTTCCAAGAGGCCCCGGGGAAACCTCGGCTGGAGCAAGCCCCCAAAAGGCCACAGGAGATGAGCCCTCAGCCCACAAAAGAGATTGGTACGAAGCCTCGGGAAGAAAAGCAATCTTATGGACAGAAAATTATGGCTGAACTTAAATATTATTACAATGGATTCTCTTTGCTTTGGTTTGACACCAAAGTTGCTGTAAGAATGATTTGGAGGCTGTTGCACGGACAGGTGCTGACCAGGCGAGAGCGACGAAGGGTAGGCAAGAACCATATTGAAGAAAGAAAATGTAGAGTTAAAATGAACTATTTAGGAACCAAGTTTTAAACTTAACTCAAAATTCATTTAAAAAAACCCAAAGTAGTAATAGTAACCGATGGTGTGAAGGAAATTTTCCTACTGAGTTTCTTATCTGCAACTGAACTGCGGTACAATTTTAGGCAAAATTCTTTAAATCTGCATATATATTTGCCTGTAGAATGGTTATAATTGTGCTTTCTAATCTCTCCAAGGAATTGAGAGGCTGCAGGTCTGATCTGTGCATCTGAAATACAAACTGTTGTTAATATATCGAGTAAATGCATTAAAAATTTTAAAAATAGATTCTATGTTATTAAAGTCCAGACCCTTAAGTTTGATGAAAGCTAGAAGATGCCAGTAATATGTTTTGATTGTCATACATTTCCGTGAGGAAATCCCATAAATATTACTTCAGGGCTAGGATAAAGAGGAGAATTCCCCCTTTCCATTGTACAAACAGCTGCAGAAAATGCATTGTTTTTTAACACTTTAAGAGCCAAAGCAGGCTTTTTAGTTTTAGTTCTTTGGATGCATCCTAAAGTAATAAGTATTGCATATGCGTTTAATTCTTCAGCTGTTGAGGACCTGTGTTGATATCTTCCGCTTGGTTCCTTTTCTGGTGTTTATAATTGTGCCCTTCATGGAGTTCTTATTACCAGTGTTTCTGAAACTCTTCCCAGAAATGTTGCCATCAACTTTTGAAAGTGAATCCAAAAAGGTATGTAGGAATTGTTGACTTTTAAAAAAATTTGACTGGCTTCCGTTTTAAGGTTTACGGAAAAACTGAACAGGAAGTAGAGAGAATCCCCAGGTACCTCGTTACCCCTTTCTGCCATTATTAACATCTTGCGTTAGTGTGGCACCTTGTTAGAGTTGAAAAGGCAATATCTATACATTATTATTAATTAAAGCTTATACTCTGCATTAGGGTTCACTCTTTGTGCCATACAGTTTTCTGGGTTTTGACAAATTGTCATATATCCACCATCACAGTGTCTTACTGCCTTAAAAGTCCCCTGTGGTTCCCCTGTTTGTCCCTTCTCCCTCTCTCCTTCGACCAGTGGCAACCACTGATCTTTTTACCATCTCCAGACTGTAAAAAGTTTTGCCTTTTCTAGAATGACATATTGTTGGAATCATACGGTGTTTAGGTTTTTCACACTGGGTCCTTTTACTCAGCAATATGGTTCCTTTAAGTCTTTTCATGCCTTATTTCTTTCAATTATGACCTAATATTTCATTGTATGGATATACCACAATGTAATCATTCACCTATTGAAGGACATCTTGGTAGCTTCTAATTTTTGGCAGTTATGAATAAAGCCACTAGAAATATCTATGTGCAGGTTTTCGTGTGGATGTACGCTTTCAGCTTATTTGGGTAAATACCTAGGTGGGTATTTACCTCTAGGTGAGTACCAGCAGTTGCTGGATTGTATGGTAAGACTGTTAATTTTGTAGGAAATCCATAGAATGTCTTCTAAAGTAGCTGTGCATTTGCATTCTCAGTGGCAGTGAATCAGAATTTCTGTTGCTCCACATTTTCGTCAGCCATTTGGTGGTGTCAGTGCTTTGAATATTAGCCGTTCTAATAAGTATGCAGTTTGTATCTCATTGTTATATTAATTTGTAATTCTTTAACGACATCTGAGGTAGAGTATCTTGTCATATACTTATTTGCCATCTAGATATCTTTTTGGAGGAGGTACCTGTTCAAATCTTTTGCCTACTTATTAATGGGGTGACTCATTTTCTTAGTGTTGAGATGTAAAAAGAGTCCTTTGTGTGTTTTTGGATGCAAGTTTTGTATTTGATATGTGTTCTGCAAATATTTTCTCCCAGACTTTGGCTTTTCTTTTCATTCTCTTAACTGTGTCTTTTGCAGAGCAAATCGTTTAAATTTTACTGAAGTACAACTTGATTTTTTCTTTCTTGGATCATGCTTTTGGTGTTGTATCTAAAAACTCTTGCCAAATCCAGGATCACCTAGATTTTCTCCTAGGTGTTTCATAGTTTTGAGTGTTACATTTGAGTTCATGTGATCCATTTTGAGTTAATTTTTTTCTTAAGAAAAGTCGGCTAACACCTTTATTTGGGGGTGGGGAGGGTTGCCGGAGCTGTTGGTGGGATGGGCCGCTTCCTCTTTCCCATCACGGGCCTCTGGCTGCACGGGATGGCACTGCCCTGAGAATTGCTGCCCTGCACAGACCCAGCTGGTACTCGTTCTTGCGGATCACGTGCCCGGTGCTGCTCAGGGCAGCCCCAGCATCCTTGCTGACTGTGGTCTGCTGGTAGGTGGCCTGTTTTTGCTGGCCGGATCTCTGCTTCGGGACAACCCCACACCTTTGCCATCAGCTCCTGGCCCTACACCCACTGCCTGCGTGAATCAGCCCCTGGCAGCATTGTAGCAGAAGGAGTTGTGGGCCCTTAGACTGTTGGGTTGGGCGCTGTGTGTCCGCTTGTTCCTCTTGATCCGGAAGATGAGTAGTTCCCTACACCGTCCACTGCAGGTGGGCGGACACAGGTGCCGCTCCCCCGGCTGGGATGCTGGGAGGCAGAAAGAGTGCGCCAGTATCTTTTTAAGAAAGGTGTAGCGTCTGCGTCAGAGTCATTTTTTTATTTGTGGATATCCAGTTTTTCCAGCCCCTTTTATTGAAAACACTAACCTCCTCATTGAACTTTAACTTGTTTTATACTGTTGAAAAAGAAAACAAACCTTAATCAACTGTTACTGCGGTGGCCAGTTGAACAGCAGGCACGCCGAATTCAAACAGGCCTGTTAGTGCTGCTGATGGTCCCAGAGAGGAAGGGGTCCTTGGTTGATGGTTGCTGTGAGGGTGAAGAGGTGAAGCTCCAGGCAGCGCCTTCATTCTCTTTATTCTGTGCAATTCACCAGGCAGTGGTGTGGAGATACGAACACAACACTGTGAGAGGACAAGGAGGGGCAGCTTTTACATCATTTTGGGAAATGTTTCACAGAAGAGGTCTGGGTGGGACCCAGACCCGGAGTGGTAGAATTTAACCACATTTTTGAAAGGCATTTGGGGTAGAAAGAATAGCACTTGCACCGGCTGAACCCTGTGAAAGGGTATGTCAGGGCCCGGGCATCACTGATTGGATCTTTATGGTGGGAACACGAGGGGACTAGTGATGGCAGATGAGAAAAGAGTGGTATGTCGGGTCAGGTGGGAAAGCATCTGCCACCCTAGGAAATTCAGACTTGACTTTAGACAGGTGGTAAATGATGGAAAGTATATTTCAGCAGTGGGCGGGTAACACCATTAGGTCTGTGTTTTAGAAAAATAACTTTGCTGGCAGGAAGGACTGAAGGCAGCGGAGCCAAGGGAGGGAAGTCAGCTGCATTGCTACTGCAACAGCGAGAGAGAGGACCAAGCTTAAATTATAGACATGGCACTAGAAATAAAAACTGGCCTTGGCTGGTGTAGCTCAGTGGACTGAGCACGGGCCTGTGAACCAGAGGATCGAGGTTCGATTCCCAGTTCAGGGCACATGCCTGGGTTGCAGGCCAGTTTGAGGGGACAGGGGGATATTTCTCTCCCTCTCTCCTTCCCTTCCCCCTCTAAAGATAAATAAATAAAATCTTTAAAAAAAAGAAATAAAAACTGAAGATAGGTGTGATGTGCTTTTAAAATATAGAATCAAATTGCAATATATGACCACCTGGCAGTGGTTTAATTTACTTACAGTAAAAGTAATTGGGACCTGGAATTAATACCATGGGGTTCTAAGGTCAGTGTTAGTAAATGAACACAGGCAGGTGAGGGGAGAGAGGAAGTGACTCATCCAAATATTCCTTTTTCTTCAATACCATTCCTCCCTGAGTGTACATATGCACATCTTGGGCACAGTCCAAGAAAATACTTTCTTGTTTGCATTTTTTTTCCCATGAAAAGGGGCACAGCAAGCGAATGAGAGTTCTGGCTTTCTGTTGCCATACTTCTCAGTTCTACTTTTCACCCATGTGTGGAAGTGCTGTGTTGTCTTCAGCCACTAGTGTCCCTCTCTCCTGTTAGACTAGAAGTCCCCAGAGGGCAGGAGGAGTATCTGTTTTTTTCTCTAGCATGTAGCACATGGTAGATGCTCAGTAGGTGGACAGTTGAGCTGATGGGTGGGTGTGGATGTGGATGCAGACGAATGAAACATGACTAAGTGGGTTCTAATTAGGGCATTGCCGTTGTGTGTTTTGGGGCTGAATCTTTTAAGATCTTTCTAAAAACCAATGATTGCTATGATTGGGTGGCCAGTAGAATCTTTTGGGCAGCTTAAAAAATATATATACATCACATATATATTCCTGTTTCTCCCTACCCCCTGAGTCCTGACCATGGTTATTTTGAAAATGCCATCCGACTGCATCTGTGATGGTGAACAAGGGTTTAGAAATAATGGTTGACATGGTGTCTTAAGCTTGTATACACTTAATTCTGTGTAGTGCTTTGTTCATATCTGTTAGAGCAGTTAACTCATTGTATTGCTATAAAGTGTGTCTGTTTTATATTTCTTAAACTATAAGCTACTTTAGTATAGAGTGAATTTCCTAGTTTTCTTGGTTCATGGACCAAGCAAAATCCAGGGCCATTCAGACCAGGTGATTGCTGAACTAGTCTCTTGGATGGTTTGTACCAGGTTAAGAACTAGTATCTCCTTTGTAAAGAACTCAGACAACCCAAGTGCCTATCAATAGACAAGTGGATAAAGAAGCTGTGGTACATACATACAGTGGAACATTATTCAGCCATAAAGAAGAATGTAATCTTACCATTTGTAACAGAATAGATGGACCTAAAGAGTATTATGCTAACTGAAATACGTCAGTCAGAGAAAGACAAATACCATGTGATTTCACGTATATGTGAAATCTAAAGAACAAAATAAATGACTGAACAATGGAAACAGAGTCATAGACACAGAGGGGAAAGGGGTTGGGGGCTGCGTGAAAAAGGTAAAGACTAAGAAGTACTAATTGGTAGCTACAAAAAAGTCATGGGGATGTAGAGTACAACATAAGGAATATTGTCAATAATACTGTAATAACTCCGTATGGTGCCGGGGGGTACCTGAAATAGTGGGGGGATCACTGTGTAAAGTATGATTGTCTAACCACTATGCCGTATGCCTGAAACTGGTACAAAATAGTGTTGAATATGAACTGGAATTGAAAAATAAAATTTAAAAAGGAAATAGCATCTCATTCTAAATCATGGCAAAGCCTGCCATGGAGGAGACATTTTGGAGCTATCAAATATTTATGATCATTGTATTAGTGATAAGTAAAAGGTAAGATTAAGGAGATAAGTTGCAAAAAGAGGCTACTTTTTATTTGCTCTGGTTCTCACAGAACACACTCAGTTAGGCCTGAAAATAACATTAGTACATTAACTAGGGATGAACAAGAACAAGGGAACACTTATTCTTCTTGCATCTTTATCTACCAAGTTGCAATCATGAAGGATTGATGAATTTTTTCCTCTTCTATTATTAAGGAAGAAAAACAGAAAAAGAAAATGGCTGCCAAGTTGGAACTAGCAAAATTTCTTCAAGAAACAATTACAGAAATGGCAAGGAGGAACAGGGCCAAGCTGGGAGATGCCTCCACACAGTTCTCGTCCTATGTCAGACAGGTGTCAGTCTTTGATGTATAATATACCGAACGACTTCTAGGCTGGGAATCTTATGAAAAGTGCATGTCATCGTGGATCTTCCAAATTGTTTACAATCTTTGAATTTGCAAATCTAAGTTATATGGATAGGATATTGCAAACATTTATAGTAGTTTGCAGAAGTGTATGTCTTAAAGCAGCCAATGTGCCGAAGACATCGATAACTTCTTGGAAACAACAGTAGAATTAGTCAGACTTTTGAACTACTGATTTTTCAGTGACCTAGGCCAACTTCAGATTTCTTTACTCCTCTTTGCACCACAGGATACATTCCCAGACCTAAGGTGGAATCCATAAATGCTTTGACATGTCTTTCAAGTAGTCTACTGGGAAGGTTAAATTAAGTAGGAAACTCATGTTGATTTTTTGATTGGGCCCTTTTGTCCCACTGCCTAGGTCCAGACAGGCCACAAGCCCAACACAAAGGAGATAGTTCGTTTTTCCAAACTATTTGAGGACCAGCTAACTCTGGAGCACTTAGATCGACCTCAGCTGGTTGCCCTTTGCAAACTGCTAGAACTGCAGCCTTTTGGAACCAACAATTTGCTCCGCTTTCAGCTCCTGATGAGACTGAAGTCTATAAAAGCAGATGATGAAGTAAGAACTTAACTGTAACTGTAGAGAATTGGCAAGGCATTAGGAGATATTTTAGGGAGGGCTTTGTGAAAAAGTGCAGTATCTTCTGTTAGGTCTGTCCATAGACTGGTTCTGGCAAAATGGGTGGTTTGTATAATCATTACCATAACATCTGAAGCTTGATTACTCGTTTTAGGAGTTACTATACTGACCCATTTTCTTGAGAAGGCCATGATAAGCAGTTAATAATTTGGACGTCTTAGCTCAGGCTGATCTAAAGCAATTAGGACCCACTTGGAAGGAACAGCAGCTCAGTAGATTCCTGACTCTGCTGCTGACGAGGACACGGCTCTACCCTCATACCGCGGCTCCCTGCCACAGAGCTGGTGCCAAAGTAAATATTCTGCTGGGAGAGCTGACCTAGTAAGGAGGGTGGCAAAACGTAAAGCAGGGAGGGAAAGCAGCACCTGGACACCTGTGGGAGAAAGGCACTGTTCGCGCTGTAACTACTAACTAGGCTCCATTAAAACATGGAAAGAGTCTTTCTTGACTCTGAATCAGCTGCTTTAAAGCATTCCGCCTGAGGGAGCAGGATTCTCAGAACTGAGACACATGATCCTGTCGGCCCCATTCAGATTTCAGTTCTTGTTTTCACAACTTTGGGATAAACAATCCTGGTCCCAGAATTATCATAGTTTTGGGTCACACCAAGCAGAAATTGTGTTATTTATTGAGGGAGTTTTGTGAAGCAGAGTTAGGGCCATCCCTGGGGTGTTGTTGGGGGATTGTGGGGAAAGAGCACCACTGGGACATGCAACAGATGGTACATAGAAAGCTTTTCAAGAGAAATGTTTTTTAAATGATTCCTAAAGCTGTCATGAAAGGGAAAGAGTAAAGATGTCTCAGGTGGGCAAATGCAAACCAAGATCATTACTTTGGCGACAGTGTTGGGGAGACGTTATGTAAATATCTCCAATAGCGTTAATACCTCTTGGCAGGATTCCCTTCATCTCAACTACTGCACTTTCCTAAGTCATCCTGATTGATAGGCATGTGGCCTCTGTGCAGTCAGTGCTGGGGACAGAGTGTGGAAGCATCAGATCCCACGTTTCCCCAATCAGCTGGAGTTTAGGGATTGGGTGAAACAGGAGCCAAAAGATCCAATACCATTCCTTACATTTCTTTCAGATGATCGCCAAAGAAGGGGTGAGTGTCTTAACTGTGTCCGAACTCCAGGCTGCCTGTAGGGCCCGGGGGATGAGATCACTGGGTCTCACTGAGGAACAACTGAGACAGCAGCTCAGAGAGGCAAGTGGCAGCCTTCCCGGCCCCGTTTTGCTCAGCTGTCTCCCCTACGCTTTGCAGACCTCGCTTCGAGATTTCTACTTTATCACAAGTAGACCATCTTATCTAAGTTGCCTTATTTAATTGAGCAGTGGGCTACCAAAGCAGCTAGATCGTTTGATTGAGACAAGGTACTGTGTTCGTTTTCTATTGCTGCATAACAAATGATCACAAATTTAGTGGCTTAAAACAACACCCACTGCCCTGGCTGCTGTAGCTCAGTGGATTGGGCACAGGCCTGCGAACCAAAGGGTGACTGGTTCGATCGATTCCCAGTCAGGGCACGTGCCTAGGTTGCAGGCCAAGTCCTTAGTACAGGGTATGTGAGAGGCAACCACACACTGATGTTTCTCTCCCTCTCTTTCTCCTTCCCTTCCCCACTCTCTAAAAATAAATAAAATAAAAACAAAACAAAATAGAAAGCAACGCCCATATATTAGCTTGTGATCCTGTGGGTTACAGGTGCCGGCTGCGTTTCTTTCTGGAGGCTGCAGGGAAGACTCCACTTCAAGCTCATTCAGTTTGCTGGCTGAATTGGGTTTCTTGCAGCTGTAGGTCTGAGGTCCTTGTTTCCTCACTGGCCATCAGCCCTGGGCTACTCTCAGTCCCGGAGGCCACCAGCATTCCTTACCTCTAGGTCACCTCCATCTGCAAAGAACTCACACGCTAACCCTCCACATGCTTTAAATCTCAGACTCCCTCTGCCCCCATTCTCCACTTTTATTTTAATCTTTAGCTCCATATTTAAAGGTCTCATGTGATTAGATGACACCTACCCTGATAACCCTCCTATCTTAAGGTCAACTGACTTGGAACCTTACTTGTATCTACAAAATCCCTTCATGGGATCACCTATAGTTGTGTTTGGTTGAGTAATGGGAGAAGGTGTGGGTACACGAGGGACTGGAAATCTCCAGGGCGCCTTAGCATTTTGCCTGCTCCGGGCATTGCAAGGGCCGGGCAAGATCCCTAACACAAGGCTTGTCATCTGTGTGAGCCCGTCTGGAGGTGTGGCCTTGGCTGCGGCTGCCTGGGCCATTCTCCCTGGTAGGGCCCCAAACCAGTGTGAAGTGTTAGGTTTGGAAACACGTGTTTAGTATTTCCCCTCGGATAACACATTTTAACTGAATGTAATGTTTGAAAAGGAAGGAGTATGTCCTGTTGAAACTCTCATTCTTTTAACTGTGAAAAGTGCTGTAAAGTGTGCATATGTTATTTGGGGACAGGAGCCATTGCTGTGACTGTGAGACTGTCAGGTGGCTTTTTCCTCTTACATCAGGGGTGTCAAACTCATTTTCACCGGGAGCCACGTCAGCCTCACAGTTGCCTTCAAAGGGCCAAATGTAATTTCAACTCCGTAACAGTTAAGGAGTAGTTACATTTATACAGTCCTAAAATTGCATTCGGCCCTTTGAAGACAACCACAAGGGTGGTGTGACCCCTGGTGAAAATAAGTTTGACATCCTGTCTTATGTGTTGGACCTGCTCTGGTTGGCAGATGGACATATTGCAGAGAGGTACCAAGATAATTCATTTGTTAAACAGAGAGTGTTAAGTGGGTTCAACTGTCAAGTTGCTTTCTTGAAAGTGTGTGCCCTCACTACAAGGGAGTGAGGCCGCAAAACCCAGCCCTGGACACGCAGCGCTCTGGACTGTTGTTCAGAAAACCTGTGTTGGGATACGGGCCGCCATTGCATAGAGAGGAGGACAAAAATGGTCAACACGAAACATCTTCACTTCATAATACGATAGAACTACAAGACACCACATTTACCTGTTCTGTTGACAGAGATCAGATTTTGATAACGTACCGTGTTGGTGAGGGTGTGCGGGGGAGGGGGACACTCATGCCTCGCTGGTAAAAATTTCCAGAGGTCTGGCTGTATCTTTCAAAATTTTAAAAAGCACTTAGTTCGACCTAGCAGTTTCACTTCTAGGAATTTATCCTGTTCTCGCACGTGTGCAAAATGACGTATCTACAAGGTGGTCCACGGCAGCACTGTAACAGCATAAGGTTAGAAACTGCCTAACATTCATCAATAGGAATGTAATCAGATAAATCACGGTATTTTAAACATCCTGTACGGATGTTTAAAAAGGAGGAAGTAGACAAGACAATATCTTGTCTACTGATGAGTCAATCTCCAGGATGAAGTATTTCAGGGGAAAAAAAAGCAAGGATAAAAGTGTATATCTCACTCACCCTTTGTGTAAAGATAAAAAAAGACACAGATATTGCCTGTTGCTATGGCCATAGGGTAGCTCTGGAAGATTGAATAAGGGCTTGGTACCAGTAGTTGCTTCCAGGGAGGGGAACAGGGTAGCAAGAGAAGCAGGTAGGACACAGGCTTCTTTTTAGTGATTTCATTTGACCTTTGAATTTTATCTTGTGCGTATATTACTGACCTAAAAAAATCTTTTAAAAGCCTGGCCAATTTGGTACAACTTGAAAACTTACATTGCATTCTTATTTTAACGTTTGTTTGGTTATGTGTGAGGCTGGTTTACTCTTTAACATCTACTTTGTGTCTCAGCGAAGACACTTAGCCTGTTCAATCCACAGTTGTTTTGAGAGTTTAACTGAACATTCTTTCTAATGCTGAGGGGTGCCCCCTGGAGTGAGGGGGGTTGCAGTACAACCGCTGGTGCAGAAGCCAGGCGGCTGCCGTGGTGGTCCTCGTCCTGCCCTCGGTTGTCAGCATGCGCCCGGGGAAGCTGTGAAGCCGGAGAAGCAGTGGGTGACCGTGGGTCACGTCTGGTCCTAACATTGATTTGTCATGTTTCTCCCCCCATTCTCCAGTGGCAGGACCTCCACCTGAAGGAGAATGTCCCCCCTTCTCTTTTGCTCCTGTCACGAACCTTCTACCTGATAGATGTGAAGCCAAAGCCAATTGAGATCCCACTAAGTGGGGAGGTGAGTGACTGGCTCCCGGAGAATCTCGATTTCCAGAACTAGGGCCTCTCCACAAACCCCTTACTCCTCTGACCGTTGCAGTCAGAGGAGGCATTTCTTTTGGAATTTGGCCCAATTGGCCTTAAGATATTAAAATCACTGAAACTACCTGTAGCTATGGGGCCGTATTGCCTTTAATCCCAGCTTGATGTAGGGGGTTCACTCGTAGGAGCCGGTTTGTTCTCTCACTGCGGCTCATTAACTGTGTAGTAACGGTTTCTCTGTTACTGCAGAGGGACTTCCTCACCACTTCCTCCTGGAGGCCGAGTGGCCCCTGCTCTGTCGTGTCTGTGTCATTTGTCCGACTCCTATTAATTTTGAAGCCGTGAATGGCCAATCTAGAGTGCAATTTTTTTGTTTTTCTACAACTCATTTTCTTTTTTTTTTTTTAATTTATTTTTTAAATTGATTATGCTGTTACAGTTGTTCTATTCCCCCCTTCATTCCCCTCCCCCTGCCCCCCATCCCCACCATTACCCCCTTGATGACCATGTGTCTCAAGTCCTTTAGATTCTATATTTCCCATGCTATTCTTGCCCTCCCCATCTATTTTCTATCTACTGTCTATGCTACTTATTTTCTGTACCTTCTCCCCCCTTCTCCTCCTCCTCCCCTTGCTAACCCTCCATGTGATCTTCATTTCTATGTCTCCACTCCTGATCTAGCTGTCCTTTTAGTTTGCTTTTGTTTTAGGTGTGGTTGTTAATAACTGTGAGTTTGTTGTCCTTTCACTGTTCATGTTTCTTTAACTTCTTTTTCTTAATCATTGTTTGTTGCCTTTAACTCGGCAGCTGTATTTGTCCTGGTACTTTACTGAAGGACCCAGCAGTGGCCCGATCACTAGAGCATCTTGCTCTGGGTACTTCAGAAAGGGCCTCTCAGCTGTCTGCTCCGTGGTTTTAAGTCTAACTCGGAACCTGCACGGTGAGGAAGGAAAGGACCATTCAGAACAGGCTGCATGTGTGGTTTAGTGGATTAAACTAAATACTCCAGAACGAGGACCAACCACTTTATAATCTTAGTTATGCTGTTAGCTCCTGGGCCATACCAAGGAAAATGACAGGCGGTCCAGCTTGTAAAATGCAGGCGGGGAGACACCACCTTGCCTTCCCTCTGCATAGCTGCAGAGACTAATCTGGATTTGGGTTTTGTCCAGGAAGGATTCTAGGGAGACTGCGTAGGAGCAGTTTTGGAGCACAGACCCCGTTCTGAAAGGCAGGCTACTGGAGTCTTACTTTCTTTGGGCTTCAAGATACACGGTTACGTGTCATTCTCAGGCTGCCGTCAGGAGCAAGGACATCTGGGAGGAGCACACTGTCTCAGACAGTGTGCTGAGTTTGGGTTCTCAGAATTACTGGGGGTGGCCAGAAACTCTTTATCCAGATGTTGTTTTCTGGGACGGTTGAGAAAGACCTAGGAATTAAGGATAAAATGACAAACCCCTAGGCATTTTGTTGGTTGCTTTGTTAAAAATCCACATTTTAAAACTTCTATTTTCCATATATACAAAGTGAGAACAAGTACCGTGCTAGGTTCTGTAAGAATTCAGAGACATCAAATAGAGTATTCAGTCATTTTGGATATATGCAGCCCTTTTCCCTCCAAAGTACACAAAGACATTACTTATTTTCAAAGGAGCAGTGATATATTTATTTTCAAATCTAATTAGTATGATTCTTAAAGACAGGTTAGCTAGCTATTTAAAATACCACCTTCTCCCTCCTTTTCCCCCTGCATTACAGGGGCTTTTATTAAGCAGCACCTACCATTTAAATAACTTTTATCATTTATTATTAGAAACCAACAAGGGTAAAGATGTCAATTTTGGCCAAGTTATATCAATGCCATTAGAAACAAATGAGTAATTGAGAAATGGCAACTTTTGCTTTTTGAGACTAGAATATGACCAGAATTGGCAAACTGGTAGCTTGTTAATGACTGAGGATTTTAAATACTAGAACCTAATTGGACTGCAACTTTTGCATATATAGTGTACTCAGAAGTTGATACTGAGATAAATACTAAGTTGTTTCAGGGACATACTTCCTATGTTACTCATAAAGGGTCTAGTTGGGGGAAGTCAGGGATTTACTGGAAAGCAAATTGTGCTAGAAAGCACTGACTGCTTGCTGTGGAAGTGCTTCTGAGTTTCAGGGAGAGCAGAAAGCTTATGCTTACATAAAATATTTATCTCCTTAGGCTGCAAAGATGGATATTCCTGTGGAACCACCTACTTCTCCTGAATCTAAAGAAAACTTGGTGGACTTAGCACCCCAACTGAAGGGAACTAAGGTTACACCCTTACTTTTTATTTAATTAATTAGGTTAAAAGTAAAAAATAAGTTGATTGCTGTATTTTAACTCCTTTGATGAGACTGAACTCCAAGGCTGTTCTTTAATAAGGAATAATTATGGTACTGTTTGATCTGTTTCTGAGAAACTCGAACACTTGGCTGTGTGTCATTAGGTTCCAGACTTTGCCTCCTGCATCCGGTGCTGGAATGTGGAGTAGTTGTTACACGTTCCTGGTAGTCATGACACCGTGACTGCAGATCGCATGCCCATTGTTTCAAAACCAGTGACCTAACTCTCGGTTCTGACACTTAAGGATGAAAACTACGTGCAGCTGCCGCCAGCTGTGTCTTCGCCCCCAGCATCCGCAGCGTCGCTTTCGTTGCCACAAGGGCCCATCACTTCCGCTGAAGAAGCTGTAAGTATGATCTAGAACAAGACAGCCTCTTTCCCTCTGCTTGTTTTTAAGGGCAGTGAGAATGTAGAATTGTCTCTATTGTGAAACACTGCACAGTTCTTCCTGTTATCCAAACAGGAAGTTGTAGGCTGAATTTTAGTCATCTCACAACATGAGATTTTTCCATTGCAATTATCCAAAAGCAGAAAAAAAAATTAACCAGTGTTAATCAGACCTCAACATGTTAAGCCTAGAAGCTAATTACAATATAGGCAGGTTCTTATTTTCTTGTGTGCCAGATGGAAATAGTTCCTGTGTGTTGTATGGATCACACAGGATTCACATCAGGAAATACTACCAGGAGAGCAATTTAAATCTTAGGAAAAATGCTTGTAAATAAGAAATCCCTTACCTCTTTCCCATTTGGAAAGAGATAATGAAATTTGGAGCAGGAGCAACAGGCGTGACACCAGCAGACAGAAGGGCCAGGGGAGAGTCGAGCTGTGTAGCGAGGGGCTCTGCGGGCCCCAGAGCACTGAAGGTGCGCACCCATGAACACGTGCCTGGGCACACTCACATCCAGAGGCCTGGTTTGTGTGTCTTTGATTCAGAAAACCAACAGGGACTCCTAATGAATTTCCACATCTAACTGTGACCAGGGCCTAATGTCCTCATGCTTTGTACCTAGACGCTCCAGGCCAAATCACAGAAGACAACCCAGAACAGCAAGGCTAGTTCCAAAGGAGCGTAAGGACGGCTGGAGGACGCGGCTCGCCCTATCCGGCTCCCCGCCCTCAGCAGTGGCCTTCTTGAAGGACCTCCCAGCTAAGACTGTCTAGTTTGGGTTGAGGACCTGCCACTTAGTCCTTGGGCAGTCCTTTGAGACCTTGTAAACATTCCAGATGATGTCAGCAGTGAGACCAAGTTCAGCCCGTTTAGAAAAATATACTTGCAAAGCCCACTTCCTGTGCCATTATGTCATCCCACTGAACTTTGTGTGAAGCCCCCCTGCCCACACTGTTTTTAACAACTTCATATTGTGCCCACGTCCTTTAAGGGAGGAACTGTGCCATGGAACCGGCTTAGCGACTTAGACGATTCTGCCTGCTATGGCTTGGTAACCTGTGTAAGAACTTGAAAACTCCAAAAACCAGTGTAAGCGCACCTGACTGACTCCTTCAGTGATCCAGCAGTAGGAACAGTACTTTATGAGATGGAACGGATATTCCCACCGTAAGGTCTTTCTGGGTGTAATGAAAAAACTTCTTGGAGAATAAAGTGGGGAGTGAGACTGGCAATCCGAAAGGCTTGGCTGCTGCTTGGCTGTTCTGTGACTCCCCCCTCTGGGCCTGCAGGAATCTGGGAGGCGGCCACGATTCCAGCACATGTGGCTTTCATCAGCCACCATTTTGCTAGGAAACATAATTAAGGGTTTAAGGCTTAACCATTTGTTTGTGCTGGGTGTGTGTTTTCCTGGCCTTTCACAAACAAGACTATTTGTTAGTCATAGAGGTTGGTAAAGTCTGATATGACCCCTATGCTACCCAGTAACAAACATTACATTCAGGTATTTGCTACCCAGTAACAAACATTACATTCAGGTATTTGCCTGGTGTTTTCTGGGCTTGTCAATACTGAAAAGACAACTCCACTGACTGCCACGAAGCCGAGCAGCGGTCTTTCCCTTGAGGAGTGCTTAGGAGGGAAGAGGTGTTTCACCTCTGGATGACGAAATTGGGTTTCTTCCCTTGCTGTGAAATTGCAGTTTGCTGGGAATCAGTTAGACTAAGTGAAACAAGCATCTTTGCCCAGGATCACCTAAACGAGGGCTGAGGGCTGTCGTCAGCACTTCGCAGCAAGGATATGTGCTTTTATAAGCTTCCTAACCCTCCTCTCGGCCAGAGGACAAGCCCCACCATGTCCCCCGCTGATGAACTTCAGTTCCTTGAGAACAAGAACCCCTACTATACAGCATTCCAGGGATCGCACCATTGCCTGGCACGGTGATTCATATTAATTTCCCCACTTTTAAAATAATGGGTGTTTACTTTAATTAGTTCACATTTCAAGTGTTGACTGTGGGAAAGGGATTAGCTACCTGTTGAATCCTGTTTAAGCTGAATGATTCATCTGTATTGTTGGGCTACGATCTTTCTGGTTTGTCCAAGTGGAGTGGGAATGGGAAAGTCAAGGGGCCCCTGGTCACTTTTGGCTTCAGTTGGCCTTCACCCATTTTTGCTTCATAATCAGGCATCCAAGCTGTGACACACCTCTGTTCCCATTCTCATGATAGCAGCTCAGAGGAGTCAAGGTCATTTCTTTGCCCCCATCACTTAGGCTTGGCTGTTGGCTTCCATGACTGTCAGCTCCAGCCTCGTGCTACAGCTGAGTTAAAGGTGTTCTGGGGGATGACTAGCAACAGACTCAGGTGGGGGGCCCAATCTGCAGCCCTTGCGGATTCCAGTGATGTAAATACCCCCACACGGCAGACCTCAGGCCACCAGCAGGCCACTGAATAGCAGTTGGAAAAGACGGAGCCAGTCCCAGCACACAGCTCCAGCCCACAGCAGCAGTGAGAGACAATTAAACCTTGACTCGTCATGTTCATTAAACACCTCCCTCCTGTGCACCAGCAGTGTATGTGATTCTACTCATGTTATGTGGTAGCCTAGATAGAACGTGCCCAAGACCGAGTCTTCCTGAACACCTGGGTTCTTCCTGACCTTCCCTCTCCCCGGCTGTCACCAGCTGCTGATAATCTGAGTATAATCTTAGGCCTTTTCTGAACCCAGCCTGAGTGATCAGTGGTGTCAGACATGGCCTGTGACTCTGACATTAATTCTGCTACAATGGGTGCTGGAAGCACTTGACATTCATGGACCTACACTTCTGCCGTGTCAAATTCTGTACTCCACTTATTTTAGTGATATCAAATACTCTGTACTGCTGAAACCTGGGCTAACGAGGTCTCCCAGTCACCAGTACACAGCTAATGGAACTTCAAAGCAGACCGGCGCGTTATCTAATGTGGCCCTCTGGCACCCCCCAGTGGCCACTGATAAACACAGCGACTTCACTGTCATTGAGATAGATTTCTTGTTTCATCTGAGGTTCTTACTTACCTGAGATCAATACATTACATTAGCGGCACCAAGGGACTGATGACCCCCAGCCTATGGCAATTAGGAAAGGCAGAAAGGCAATATTGATTAATCCTGTGGTAATCCCAGGCTCTAATCTCTTAACCCTCAGGAAACCAGCCAAATTCAGTGCCTCGATAGCACGTTGTCTTCATTAGAGAAACCGGATTCTTTCTCTCCGGAGACCGGGTCTGGTCATCTAAGTGAAACGGTCATTTCATTTTCTCTCAGGTCAATTTCACTATCTTTTATTAGACAGCCAGCTCAATCTCTGGGGAAATTCGTGGGTGGTTTGAGTAGTAACAGCAAGGACACCGCTGTTGCGACAGCGCCTTGCATTTCTCTAGCGTGCCTCCCGAAGGCATACAGAGCCCTTCACAGATCCTCCATCCATTTCCACAGCGCTGCTTCAAGGGCCAGGGCAGAAGTTACCACCACTCTTTCACAAGGAAAGACACCACTATCAGGCCTGAAAACAAATGTTTTTTAAGAGCTAAAATTCATTTCCTGGCTCTGTTCACCAAATTGTGCCTTCATCAAACACAAACACAAACTGTAATATGTTGACAGTTGCATATTTACAGAGACACAAGGAAAGAGAACTAATTTACAATAGTAGCCAATACTGTAGCTGACAAAAAATAGAGAGCTCAGAAGGGAAACAAAGTAGCAATCTCATTCTCCCTGCAGAAGTGAGAGCATATTGAACTTCCCTTTGTACTCAGCAGCAATCCAGCAAAAAAAAAAAAAAAAAAAGCGAGTGCTTTCGGAATCAAGGTTGCATAGAAGCGGGTTGAGCACTAAATTCTGAGGAGCCAGGACACACTGATAACCAGCAGGTGGCAGAGAAAGTAAATTTCCAAGCAGCCAGAAAACAAACATTTAGAGAATTTTCCCCCCTTTCCTAAGGGATGGGGTGGAGCTTGTACAGGAACTACAGGAAGCCAAGCTCTGTGACAGTCCCGACACGTGCAGTTTGGTCCCGTGGATAAAGAAGACAGGTGGGGGGAGGACCATGAACACAGGGCAGGCTCAGAAATGCGAAGCAAGGAGCCTTGATGTGGAACCAGTCTTAGGTGACAGTTTTCCCTTTCACAGCAGCACAGGCAAAACCACACACACAGAGGGGTGGACACATGTCTGGGTCTGAGTTTCTGCATACCCTCGTAACAGTCCGCAGGTTTCCTCTGCCTCCTCAGTGCTGCCCCTTGGCCCCAGCTCCCTCTTTGACCTCTGACCTTCCCGACCCCACCCATTTCCCCCGTTCTCAGTTGAGGGCTGTAGGGTTTTGGCTGTCACTCAGCACCTCTGGTGCCCTGAGAGGAGGTTCCTGGCCATTACGCAGATGTCTTCTTTTCCTGCCTTTCCAAAAGCATCTGAGAGGCCTGGGGCTTGTCTGGAGGCCTCAGCGCAGGACCTAAAAAGGAAGAGGTTAGGAGGACACTGCGGGGAGCCTGTGTGCCCTGGGGACAGACAGAGACCCAGGGCCCCTGGCTCTTGCTCTGTTGACATTCTCTCCTTTGTCACACAGCCCATATAAAAATGAAGCAGCAGCAATTTTTATTTGAGGGACCTAAACTGAAAATAGGTTTAGAACATAATTTAAAAAAATAAAACAGCAAAAGTAGCAAAAAATATATGACCTTTTTAAAAACATTTTCCTTTTTTTTCCTTTTTTCTTTGTTTTTAATATATAGCAACTGATGCCTCCCAGCCACCAGGAGCATCTTACCCAATGGGTAAATCTCTGGTAACGACCCTTTTAAAAAGACATGTAAATATATACTCAGATTTATACACTTTGTGTTTTCTTCATAGCTATGTACAAAGCCCCCAGTTTGGGGCTGGGCCCCAGGGCCTCAACTCTGCTCCCGGCCTTTGCCTCCCCACCTCTGGTGCCAGGCATTTGGTCAGCAAAGCAAATTAGTATCAGAATTAATAAGCCACTGGCACCGTATCTCTGGAGCAGAGGTCACTGTCAACCGAGGCCCAAAGCACTGACTTCGTGGCCCTGTGGCCACGGGGACGAGGCACCTGCCATCAGAACTCAAGGGCTTAGGGGGAACGGTGCAGCAGGCAAAACCCACCCGAGAAGGCTGGGTCAGCTCTCACGTGAGCGCCTGCTCAGTGCCATGGGCATACCTCGCCTCCCACTCTCCAACCCTGCAGGCAGTGCCAGGTGGCAGGGAGCGGTCTTGGTCCCACATTTGGGAGGGAACGGAGTGGCCATCAACAAGTACCTGCCTCTGCACTCCTCTCTCATAAGCAGGTTGAGAGGAGGAGGAGGGGTGAGCTCAGTGGGGTGAAGGCCTCAGGTAGGCAGCTGCCTCCTGCCAGCAGGAAGGGGGCAAAGGGGAAGGCAGTGAGTCCAGCAGGGGGCAGTGGGTGAGAGACGCAGCAGAGGATGAAGTTCGGGGAGGGACAGTGCAGGGGTGCTAGTCAGCGTCGTTTGAGTCCGCCGTTGGCAAGCTGGGCCGGGTGTCGGGGCAGACAGGGCTCCTCAGGCAGCGGCTCGTGAGAGAAGACAGAATCCTCCCCTGAGGAGCAGGTAGAGCTTCGGGTGTCGGGAAAACTGGGAGAGTACTGGTCCAGGGGCATCGACAGGTCCAGGTACTCCTGTGGCAGGAGGAACCAGAGAACAATGCGTCCCGCACTCTCCTCCCGGAGGCGGCTTCCTCCACAGAGATCTCCCCGGCTGATGACGCCGCAGGTCTGGGATGGGACAGCCTCACCTGGTTGGAGGTCAAGGCCACAATGCGGTCCAGATCTTCTACTAACTGCTTGAAGGTGGGTCTCTGAGAGGGCACCGCGTGCCAACAATCCCGCATCATCATGTACCTGCGGCAGGATTATATGGTCAGGGGAGGAAAAGCAGGCAGGGAAACCAAGAAGTTCATGGAGGAGGGAACGTGGCAGCAATGACCAGGAAGGGCTGCGTCATCGAGACAGACGCCCCTTTCTTCCTCTTCCCGTCCAACCCACTCCGCCTCCAGGGCCTAGACCTTGGGCATCTTCTCAAGCTTACAGCTCGTTGGTGCAGTTACTGGGCTTGTCCATGCGATGGCCCTCCTTCAGCAGCTTAAAAAGCTCCTCCACAGGCACACCAGGATACGGGGAGCCTCCCAGAGTGAAGATTTCCCACAGGAGCACCCCAAAAGACCACCTGTGGATGAGCACAGAGCCCGTGGGTGCCGCGGGCACAGGCTGGGCCAACCTGGAGTCCTTTCCATATTTCTTTCATTAGCATGTCAGATACTCATCCTGAACCCCCCCACCCCCACCCCCGTCCCAAGTACCAGTAATTCTCAGGGGACAATACAGCAAACAGACTGGTCTTACAACCCCCAGGAACAAAGTAAATAGCTACAGATAATGTTTCCTTTTCTCTCCGAGGTGGTGGAGACCCTCATCAGTCCATAGGAGAAGGCAGCACTCTGTCCTGCCAGACATTTTCTAACCCAAGTATCCCTGGCGACTGCAGGTGTGAAACTCACACGTCGCTCTGGTGGGTGTAGATCCGGTCGAACAGAGCCTCGGGTGCCATCCACTTCACAGGCAGTCGGCCCTGTGAGCAGCAAGGGGACGTTGGGGATGGCCCAGGGCAGGGGGCAGTGAGGGGGTAAGGAGGGTGCGTGAGGGACTGGGCTTGGGGAAGAGAACACCTGTGCAGCTCATCCTGCTGTGCACACCGAGTCTCAGGCAAAGCCACCCGCCCTGGCTCATAGCAGACACCACAGGGAAGGAGAGCCCAGCACAGCGGAGTCCTGCGCAGAGGACACGCACCTAGTGGCCTCCTCGGCACTTACATTGGTTGTCTTTTTATAGTAGTCGATGTGGTGAATGTCCCGAGCCAGGCCAAAGTCTGCAATCTTCATCACGTTGTCCTCCGTCACCAGGACATTCCTGGCGGCCAAGTCTCGGTGTATGCACTGTGGAGACAGAAGGGGAAGCCCGGGGAGGCAGATACGGGAGAGGGGGTGGGGTGCAGATGAGGGGGTGCAAGGCTCTAGGGTGAACAGCCACAGACGTGTATCGGCGGCCAGCTGTCTGTCACCCTGAACGTCAGCACTCACCCTGCAGCTGGCAGGTCAGCCCACTCACCTCCCAGGCCTTCCCCTGCTGCACCTCTCACCTCCTGTGCATTCTAGTCCCCCGCTAGGGGGCCCCTCTCCTCCTGCACCTCTCACCTCCTGCGCATTCTAGTCCCCTGCTAGGGGGCCCCTCTCCTCCTGCACCTCTCACCTCCTGCGCATTCTAGTCCCCTGCTAGGGGGCCCCTCTCCTCCTGCACCTCTCACCTCCTGCACATTCTAGTCCCCTGCTAGGGGGCCCCTCTCCTCCTGCACCTCTCACCTCCTGCACCTCTCACCTCCTGCACCTCTCACCTCCTGTGCATTCTAGTCCCCTGCTAGGGGGCCCCTCTCCTCCTGCACCTCTCACCTCCTGCACCTCTCACCTCCTGCACCTCTCCCTCCTGCACCTCTCACCTCCTGTGCATTCTAGTCCCCTGCTAGGGGGCCCCTCTCCTCCTGCACCTCTCACCTCCTGCACCTCTCACCTCCTGCACCTCTCACCTCCTGCACCTCTCACCTCCTGTGCATTCTAGTCCCCTGCTAGGGGGCCCCTCTCCTCCTGCACCTCTCACCTCCTGCACCTCTCACCTCCTGCACCTCTCACCTCCTGTGCATTCTAGTCCCCTGCTAGGGGGCCCCTCTCCTCCTGCACCTCTCACCTCCTGCACCTCTCACCTCCTGCGCATTCTAGTCCCCTGCTAGGGGGCCCCTCTCCTCCTGCACCTCTCACCTCCTGCACCTCTCACCTCCTGCACATTCTAGCCCCCACGCTAGGGGGCCCCTCTCCTCCTGCACCTCTCACCTCCTGCGCATTCTAGTCCCCCGCTAGGGGGCCCCTCTCCTCCTGCACCTCTCACCTCCTGTGCATTCTAGTCCCCTGCTAGGGGGCCCCTCTCCTCCTGCACCTCTCACCTCCTGTGCATTCTAGTCCCCTGCTAGGGGGCCCCTCTCCTCCTGCACCTCTCACCTCCTGCGCATTCTAGTCCCCTGCTAGGGGGCCCCTCTCCTCCTGCACCTCTCACCTCCTGCGCATTCTAGTCCCCCACTAGGAGGCCCCTCTCCTCCACTCCAAACCCAGCCACCCAAGCCCCTCCAGCTCCAGGCCTCTCAACAGCAAACCCTTCGTATTTGCCTCCTTTCCTCATCCTTCCAACTTTTGGCTGTGGATTTTTGCCCAGAAAGGCTGACCCTCTGTGCAGTCTGCATAGGTGTGTGCTCACGAGCCCTGCCCCCCAGGCCCGGCATAGCCACCGTGGGCTGGGGCCAAAGCCAGCCCTTACTGAGCACCAAATGCTGTACCCAACACTCTTGCACTTCATTTTACTCCCCTAACTCCCAATGGAAGTAATATTTCTTATTTTATATTTGAAGAAACAGAAAGTGGCAGAGCAGATTTGAGCCCAACCCAGTCTGACCCCAAGGCCGCGTGTAGTGACACTGGCTCTCCCGACTCTGATGTCCCCCAAGAGCCTGAGACGGCACATGTGGTCAGTGCTCAGTACGTCCACCATTCCACTGGAGGACAGAGAGTCATAAGCTGGAGTGTGAGGAGGGCTCTGTCCCCACCCAACCTCACCCAGGGGGGCCGTCGGGGGCCTCACCTTCTTGGAGGCGA